AATGGCATTTGAGTGACATGAACAAAACACGGTGTAACTAGTGTAAGCTTAATCCTCGTTTATTCATAAGGGGGTATGTGTATAACTTTGTTTCGCAGTGTTAGGATATTTCTGTCATTTTATGCATAAAGGGGTAAACAAGTTGCCCCTATAGCATATAGACGCTTACGATAACCTGCGTCGTTATTTACCTTAACTCCATCCTGTACCCGTAAAGCCCAGGCGGGCATTCGCCTAACGGAAATGTTTTGGAAAACGCTAACGCTTTTGATTTTATTTTGTTATTTCTGACCGCCGAAGGTTTTCAAATACCTCACGCTAATTTTTTTTTTAATATTGTTATTATCAATGCAAAAGAAAAAAAAGAGCGCGAGGCATTTTCAAACCTCAGGCGGCTAGAAATAACAAAATGCAATCGTAAGCGTTAGTGTTTTCCAAAGCATTTCCGTTAGGCGAACGGCCCCCAGGACCCTAACTCATCAACAGAAATAAACACTAGCGAAATGAAAGTGTTAATGCACAAGGTGGAGGTTCTTCCCCCGATGGGTGTTCCAACCCCTCTCCCGCCTCTCTTATTATTATTATCTATAATATAAAAATGAATCACTGAATGTGTTGCTAAGCGCAAATCAAGAGAACAGCTGAACCGATTTCGATAATTCTTTTTTAGAATATTCATTGAAGTACGAGGATGGTTCTTACGTAGAGAAAAATTTACAAAAATGCCCTAAAAATGTCCAAAAACAACACTTTTCTATACTCCCATACAAACGATTCGTAATAATACTTAAAAGTCAATTTCAACTTTAATACCATACCATAAATTTCAAATGTTAGTGGAGAGATTCTGGGAAGGCAAAACAATTGAGCGAAGTGATGTCAATAGAAGTTTGGAAAAGGCAAATATACCATTTTCAGTTTTTTTATAATTCCTTATATGAAGAGTCGTTTAAATCTACATTACAGCTCTACACCGAAGCGAAGCGAGGGCGGGCAACTAGTTTTTAATAAAACAAGTTTCAATGGTATAGATTGACGTTTGGCATCTTTTTCTCCTGAAAATCTGCGTTGTCAGAAGTGAAATAAATTAGTGCATCTATACCGTTGAAACTTGTTTTATTTAATGAGTGGTGTGCGTGGAAACCTATGAAACAAATATTATTTTTAATGTTAAAAGGATGCCCAACAAGCTTCTCTCCCTGTAGCATGAGCACCATAACTTACATTATATCACGTTTTTTATCGCGGTTAACTGTCAAACTCCATAGTAATTTAAATAAATAAATATTAAATATTTCTAACACTCACACCAATTAGCCTAGCCCCAAATTAAGCACTGTAAGGCTTGTGTTATGGGATACTAGGGTAACGGATAGAATACATATACTGTACATATATAAGCATATTTATATAGAAATACATATTAAACATCCATGACTGGAGCACAAATGCTCGTATTCATCACACAAACATCTGCCCCCACCGGGATTCGAACCTCTTCTTCGGGACCTCTCGAGTCGGCGACACCATGAAACCCGGCGTACAAACCACTCGGCCACGGAGGTCGTCTTTGTTATTTGACAATTGGGCGTAATAAAAACGCGTTATATACCATATCGCGGTGCTCATGCTAGGGGGGCTGGACTGTAAGCGGCCACCGTATCTCTTATCTATTAGACAAGTCCGTCCGTCCGTCCGTCTGTGGTGCTGTTTCAGCGGCCAAACCGTAAGATATAGATAAAGAGAATGTTTAAGTTATAAGTTAAGAATAGTCTGATAAGACTACAAACCGGATTTGAGTAACGTAGCACTTCCGGTTTTCGAGAAATCACGAATTTCAAACGAAACCACACAAAATCTCCGAAGTTCTAATACATTTTTTTTTAAATCAGGTTTTGGTGAACATTTGGTTCACTGGTTTGCTAGTAGATACTAAAGCTATACCCTGACCCAAACCCCGTAGCGCCCTGGAACCCAACTCACCAACAGAAATACAACACCACTATCAAAAGGTATAATGAGATTCAACTAAGAATAGGACCGACTGGGCGCCATATTGTGACGTCATAGCTGTCAATTCCAACCAAATAGGTAGAGTGAGCAAAACGAGTTTTATTTAATGAAACTCATTTACTAAGATTGAATGAGAAAAAACATCAGATTATTTAAATAAACTTTATTTACTAAGATTGAGAAAAAAAACAAGCGATTTTTAATAATATTTATTTATTAAGACTGGGTGAGAAAAAATATTAATCAGAATCTAGCTCTTGAATTACGCTCATCTCTGCATTACCGCCGAACTAGTTATGAATAATCGTGCACTATTACTAGGTCACATACGAACATGCATCCTTTATGTAAACGAAAGTTTTAAATCGAGTTTATGAACGCAACTTAAAGTGACATTTGGTTGACGATTTAGGTTATCAACCATTTAAAGCCAAAGCTCAATAAATGAAAAAAAATATTACTTACTACTCAATTTCTTAATCTATCTATACTTATAATAAATCTGTAGAGAGGTCAATTCTGTACATGAAATATATTTTCAAAATAACTATCAGGGGGTGATAAGTGATCGAACCTGATGCCAAAAAAGCAATCAGTAAAATTTTTGTCTGTCTGTCTGTCTGTCTGTGTGTATGTTCCTTATAGAAACAAAAACTACTCGACGGATTTTAACGAAACTTGGTACAATTATTCTTCATACTCCTGGGCAGGTTATAGTATACTTTTCATCACGCTACAATCAATAGGAGCAGAGAAGTGAAGGGAAATGTTGGGAAAACGGGAGAAGTTACTCCATTTTTTAAGCTTCCGTCGCGTGTGCAGCCTTAATGGTTAAAGTTACATAGAAATCATGAATGACGGAAATATTCTACATAAAATTGCCAAAAAAATATCCCGCAACAGCATATGTCTATCTTTTATGGTTGACTTACAATAACACGTGTAATTATATAAATAAAGTCATTGTTTATAACACAAGCCCGAGAACAAAAACTATAGTTTACACTACATCTCTACACCGAAGTGAAGCGAGGGCGGGCCCCTAGTTATCAATATTTGTTATTGTTTGTTTACAAATGTTTGGTTTTTATTCTAGAATTTGAAAAAGGGTTCCAAGATTTATTTGCATACCGTACTTTTCAAGCGACATTTGACAGATGGAGGTCATTGGCTTTCCTATTCTTAATTGAATAGCACTATAATGTTATTTTACTGTGGTCTTCTATAAGGTGGAGGTTACTTCCCCCGACGAGCGCTCGGGTGATGACGGGGTACAGTAAACGAAATTCTATTTAGTCCGTCAGTTAGATGATCAAAAAATAATGGACACGTATTTTTTCTTTGGGCAAACAACCAAAAAATGACAAAGTTATAGCGCATCAAAGTTTGGGAGGGGCTCGTGACGTCACTTTTGAGTGAATTTTCACTTATAAGTGTACTTAAACGTGACGTCCTACGACTTTTCAAATCAATAAATCTCTGCAATGTTTATATTATGTGAAAAAAGAAAAAATACGTGTCCAATACTTTTTGATAATCTACCTGATAAACGAAGAAAAAAAAATTAGTCATCATCCCTACAAGCGGCTATGCCGTACTTCTCTTTATAGACTCGAGTGCATTTTGACTTTTAAATTGTATAAATAAATCTATTCTGTGTTACTGATATTAAGAAAAATAAACTCGGTAACATTACTAACCAATATTGTATTTTTTAAAATATCTAAATAGTACATTCGCCATGATCTTTTTAAACTTTTATTTCAAAAGTTTTGAGATAGGTGTGAATAAGTTCTCAGCGAAGTTTGCGAGGGAAAGGGAGGCGCGAAGGTGGTCCGCAGCCGTCTCACTCTAGCGCAGTTAAAGTCTCAATCTGTGCCGCGAGTGGTCGGTCAAAGTTGGGCGGGTTGAATGTAGACAGAAGAATGTATTAGAAAGAGCTTTATTATATTTTTAAATGTTTTTCTGTAATAGATTTCTTGTCAGGTGAAAATTGTAACAGCACCTGCTCATTTTGGTCATAATAAATTTAAGTGTAACTGTATTATTTATTAAAAAAAATACTAAGTATAAAAGCGGAATCGTTCACCGTGTGTACAATGATTTCATGGCAAAACATGATGTTAAAAATATTTTGTCTTATGTTCAATAGGTACATTTCTACACTATGTTTCAATAATACTTATTTTTCAATGACCATTTCATTAGAATATTCTATTTAACGAAATTGATTAATAAATGCATAAATATATCTAACACTCATAACAATTAGCCTAGCCCTAAGGTAAGCACTATAAGGGATACAAGGATAAATAAAGGATAGAATAAGTATACTAATACATATATAAGTATATTTATCTAGAAATACATACATGAGTTGAGGTACAAATGCTCGTATCCATCATACAAACATTTTCCCCACCGGGATCTCTGAGTAGGCGACACCTTAAGAATAGGCGTACATACCACTAGCTTCACGGAGGTCGCTCAATCATTAAAATTATTATTAAATATTTTCATTTCATAATAAATCTTATTTGCACTTCGATTACTGCTACACAACCTATTGCTAAGATCAGCATCTTAAAGAAACACAGTTTGTATTATGCTAAATAAGCTAAAGAGTAAGGTATAATTATTTATGTAGTTAAAATTAACATAAAAATATACTTTGAAATAAATAACTTGGTTTTAACAAAGTTTGCCAATAAACTAGTGCATTATAAATATCAATCGGTACCTACATGCGTTGCATATCAATCCTATTTACAAAAAAAACGAGCGCGCCTTACAGTAGTCGGTTTTGATGTGCAGCATTTGAAACCTCACCTTATACATATTAGTAAAAGAAGAAATAAAACCTACTACAAAAGGAATAAGTCATTTGAACATTATGTTCTTCAAATCAAATCAAATAGTGCTCGCTTTCGCGACTTCCTGTTACACACTTCCGTCCCATTTCACGAAATCACTCTCACAAATTACAGGAAAGCGAGCGGAAAGACACATCAACAACCCTAAAAAGAATTGTTTTAAAATCTATGACGTTCTTTACGTCATCGTGGAACACCTGCCCACGCGTGTCTGCCGTATTGTGAGGTCTATGTGCGCGGTTTAAAAGCTCGCGCGCGCCCGCCCTGCCGTTCACTACCTGCCTACCTGCCCGCTTTGCACGTGCTAAACGTACCCTGTGTACGGCACCGAAAGGATACCACCGAGCTCTGAGTCGCTGTAAGTACATTCAAACTTTTTGGAACAACTTTTAAATACTGTCTTGTACATATTTTTAATAATAACAATTGATGTTGAAACTTATTGGATCAACTTGTGATTGCATTTTTTAAAACTACAAGTTTAAACCTTTTTTGGACACTTCTAAAAATATTTTTAATCATAAACTTTTTTGGAAAGGCTAATTTTTAAATATTTTGGCGGCATTATTGTGGAGTTCAGATCAAGTAGGAGTTTAAAAATTCGCGCTTCATTAAAAGTTTTTAGCTGCATTTTTATAAAACGAGTTAAACTCTATATTCGCATATATTACGAAGGCGACAAATTTTTAAATAGGTATATTTATAAAGTCCTAATAGTCAAATATATTATGTAATGACTACTTTCATACTATAAATACTGTAGTGAATTTTCAAAATAATCTTAATCTAATGATTGGCATCGCTATAAAGATTTCAAATGACAACAGATTGCAGCTAAATAAAACTTGAAATAAAAGTCTTTATAAACAAGACAAAAGGATAGAAAGCCTGTATTTACAATGATTACACTTATTATTATATACACTAACTATCTTTTTAGGGATTAAACAAATCCAAATAGTTATTTAAACATTTTAGTGTACCAACTAACCCAAAACAAACAAACCCGTGGCCGATTGAATTCAGAATTTATTCTTCTTTTCTTAAGAGAAAAATCGTACAAAAATTCGTAGGTAAGTTATGTCGTTTAAAAAAGGGAAATCCTTAACTTAAACTAACCCAAAAAAAAGATGTTTAATTTATATCGAAAAAAAACTCCTTTGTTTATTGGTAAAAGTATAACGACTTAAAAATATAAGATGGTAAGCAGCCACAATAGCCTAAAGACGCTTGCGATACTAAAGAAAAATACTGGCACCGTTGCGTGGCCTCCCCTGACCCAGAACCCCTACCCCGTGGAGCCCTAGGACCTTACTCACCGACAGAAACTCAACACCACCAAAAAGGTAGTGTTATTTGACTTCTGTAAGGTTAAGTCAAGTCTCTCATTCAAGCGGAAAATCCGCTATGCCTATGGAAATACGAGTAAAATGAAGGTTAACATAATTTCTATGAAACAAGTAAAGATAGACATAAAGTAAATTTTTCATTGCCTTATTTAGAAACTTTGAAGTAAGTGACGAAGTTAATAAAAAAAAAACTTGAAATTATTTTTCAGCCATACTTTATATAGAAAAATAATAACCTATTTAAAGAAAGTAAGCAGAAAAAGATTTTGCTAAAAAAATATTGTCGAAAGAGTAATTTCAATGTTTCTAATTTGGGTTAATTTTTTTGGATTGACGTTAATAAAGAAGTAGGCAGCCTTTTACAAACAAAAAATTCATTAGTAGCTATTCATCGTCACCGGGCAATTAAAGTCCCCAATGTTTGGGACACTTTCCTTATGCGACAGAAACACAGGAAAAAAATTGAAAAAGTCATGCCGAATTCTTGCTAAAATAATAATAACTGCTATGAACAGTAGGTAGACGTTATAAAATGTAATTCAATGAAAACAAATATAGGTATATCTGTAAAAGGTTTTTACTCTATTATCTTTGGTGTTGAGTAGGTTCAATAATTATATCTACCAATCTACCAAGACACTGTTTAATATATTTTCAGATTTTTTAGTATGTAAGAACAATGAACGTCATGTTGTCCTTTAAAATAGGTTGTTTTTTTATTAGAACATTAGTAATATAAGTTATTTACGGGATTGTTACCATGTACCTTGTTTTTAGCAAGTTTCAAACAATGTACATGGTAACAATCCCGTTAATAACTTATATTACTATAATATTAGTTACCATGAAAGTTTAAAACAATATAGAACATTAAATATTCACAAATCTACAATTAGGCATTATGTATAGTCATATTTGTTACTGCGATTCCTATATAGTTAATAATATGATTCATATTCGCCATTAATTACATTATAAATAATTCATGCTTCATAAAAATGAGCACTCAACCAAATTGTCTACGGAACGCGTGAAGAACTATTGTCTATGGACTTGTTTGCACGTATTTGTTATTTTTTGACAATACAAACGTTATCAAACATTGTTGAAAATAAATTGAATTGTTTACGTTCAAAATTAAATTTCCATGTCGATAATATGGACAATCGAACATGCGGGCAAATACAATACGTTGAGGGTTAAAATGCGGTAATTATCCGTTGCGCTGTTCCAATCATGTGTTTGAATTTAATTATGTTTAGATAGATAGATAGATGGATAAATTCTTTATTGCACACACACAAAAGAATACAAAAATAAGGAAACAATAACATAATGTGGGCAAAGGCGGCCTTATCACTTTAAGCGATCTCTTCCAGACAACCTTTGCGGTAAAGGATAACTAAACGAAGAGGAAGTTGCAGTATGCCAGCAAGATAAAATAAAGAAATGTACATATTTTCTTAAACATATAAAGATTATAAACAAATAAATAACATACCTACACAAATATACATACTATAGATACCTACACAAATAAACATAGTATGCAATATTATATATTTATAGATACAGCAGACTAGGATTTAAGTAATAGAAAATCATGTAGTATATTTTTAAACATCTCAGGCGGAAGCTTGTTCCAAAGTTGTGCAGCTTTAATCGTAAAGGAGTCCATATAATATACTCAGAGCGGGTGATCTCTAACACATTATCGTGTTTTGAGCGCAAAACGCGATCGTGCTCCACACAAAGAAATTGAAAACGTTTCTTGAGGTAAGTGGGAGTGCGAGGGTCATACAACACCTTATAAAGTAGTAAGAGGAGATGCTCTTCACGACGCAACATAATGGGAAGCCACTTGTTTACTGATTTAATTAAAAAAAAACATATATATCACATTTAAAACTACGATGGGCAACCACCCATCGTATCCTGACCGATATCATCATTAAATCATCACGGTGTCAAACCTTGTTTAGGCAAATTTTGTATGACATATATTTTTTATAAACTCAATTTATAAAGTATTAAGGTTAGTGCTTACTTATTTAGGGAACCCAACCTCGGAAGGAAAAAATAAAGTTTATAACAGTATTTATTAAAGTATAGGCAGCTACGAATGAAGAAAAATCACGGGGCGCTGTTAGATTATATTTTAGGAAACGAAAACAAGTTTTAAGTATATTATTAAAATGGATGGGAAAACAATATGCTATGGATTAGACGTCTCGCATGATGGTAAACGATAAAGCCACCATAGCCTACAGATGCTTATGATACCACAGCAATACCCCCGTACCCTGAGCCTATTAACCCTGCCTCCAGGGCTTATTAGCCCTGGATTCTTACTTATCAACAGAAACACAACATATTGTATCCTATGTATAAGGTGACCGTAACATCGTTAATAATTTAATTTTATGGGTAGTTTAATAAGACATTATTCAGTTATTCTTAATAAAATGTTAAGGGTTAATTAAGCTATTACTTTACCTCACTATCCGTCTGTATCAGGGCCTTAGCCAGAGTTGTAACATTACAGAAAGAGCTCCGCTTAAGATTTACCCCCCCTTCTCCTAGCATAATGGCTTTTGCCGCCTTCCACAGCCTGCTGCCCCGTTTTAAGGAAAGGCATTGCACCAATAAGGGCCACCCCTAGCTAGCAGCCTGTTCTAACCATCAAAAAAGACCCTTTGTCTTAGGCACGTGTGGCGGTGTCTTGTTGAAATTAGTATTCAACTAGAAAACCAGTGAACCAAATGTTCATCAAAACCTGATTTTCGAAAACCGGAAGTGCTACGTTACTGAAATCCGGTTTGTAGTTTTATCAGACTATTCTTAACTTATAACTTAAATATTCTCTTTATCTATCTCTTACGGTTTGGCCGCTGAAACAGCACCACAGACAGACGGACGGACTTGTCTAATAGATAAGAGATATTATATAGTAAGTAACCGCCATAAAACACGTTCTTATCAACATATTGATATGATCTTACCACTGCTGGGGCATAGGATTTCCCTAACGATAGAATCCCTCCTCCTTGTGGGCTCTGTGCGGATCAGTTGGTGCTAACGACCACAGGTATAGGTCCAAAGTAGGAAGCAGCCCGGGATGATAAGATATTGGCAACCCATCCTGTGACCAGATATTTTAAAAGTTGCTTATTTTTCACGATATTAGACCGAATGCTCTAACCATTTCGCTACAAAACAGTAAATTTTTAGATCGATCACATTTTCGATTATTAAGATACATAAACGGACGCACTACGGGGAGCGAACTAAATTGGTATTGGCCGTTTTTTGGGCAAGATTAATAAATGAACTATAGTTATAACTTTCCTACTTGTAAGGTCCGGAATTCAGAAATTAGCCAGCACATTAATTTTGACCTCGATTTTGGCACCCGTCCACAAAATTTTTGAAAAGTTAGTTTTTCTACATTGTCTAAGTTGGAAATAAAAATCTAGGGCCTCAGAGACGCTCTAAGTATCAGCGAAAAATCCAAAGTGTTCACCTATTAGGCGACCACCCATCGGAGGCACTAACGCTAGTTTAACGCTTAAAATTAATACATAGATTTTATTGTAAACTTCTTTTGTTGTGATGTCTATTAGAGATATTATTTGGTCTAAAAATGTGTATTCGTATACATATGCCAGTTTTGCAGCATTATCGCATGTATATAAGATGGGAGTTTAGACGTAATTATATCAGTTCTTCGATCATAACCTGCAGCTAGCTTGGATCACCACAAATTACCATACTAATAATACGATATTCCGATAACATTTATACCAAATTATTTTAATTCTAGTTGCCGAAAATATAAGTATGTTATCAGGTTGCCAAGAACAGTTTGGTTGATAAGGGTCTAACTCCTTTTTGACTGACCCTTACGCCGACTTTAACAGCGTCGTTGTAGTGACCGCGCCACATCGCATCAAAATGCAAGCTCCGTACAAAGTACAAACGTGAACATTGCAATAACCCATGATGTAGG